TTTCATTTCTCATTTTAGAATAAAAAAATAAAAAAAATTGCCAATGACTGGCTTGCTTGGCTTCAACTTGCTAAATCAAGGAAAGTTGATAACTTCTTATTGGTAACTTTAAGTTTAGGGTGCAACATACTATTAATTTAACCTTTTATTCAAAAGAGAAAAAAAAGGGCTTCTTTTCAACTTTGTATAGTTAAAGTATAACTTATTAGTCATTCATATTTCCTTTCAAATAATAAATAATATTCAAGAAAATTCAATTCACTCACTAATTCCAATATACTTCCATTCCATTATAACCAATATAATAAATAGGAGCACAAAAAATTGCTTGAATAAAAAAAAAACTCTACCAACTCCACATAAATATAATTTAATGAGAAAGATACCTAATTAATTATAATGCAAGAGATTAAAATATGTACAAATAAAAAAATATGTAAGAGGTACATACCTATCAACAACTTTATTGAGTTGATCTGACTAAAGATCTATGAGGATACTACATACTAATTATAGAGTTAAGCAGAGAGGTAGCAACAACAAATGACTAGTTAGTGAAATAGTTACACTAAGGAGTATTTTGCCAAGCAATGTGACACTTGGACTTACCCAGCATCAGCACAAATCTTTAATAACAGATATTCTTGTAGGTATTTCTTTTCCTACAAATTATGGTCATAACGTGCAATTTCATCGCTTCAACGTAAGACATAAAGATACACTGGGGCTGGTGAATGAGATTTTAAAGGATAGGAATTTACCTATCTTATTAGTTCATGAAAAGATATTCTTAACAATTGCTTACATTATTGAGCTATAAAACGTATTCGCCATTTTCACCACGCTCAATAAAAATCGGGCATCCAAGCTCTTGGCGATAGAATTAGTTTGGCAATCACCCATTTCAGCTGATCGCCAAAGTTTAGGGTTATAAAATAGGCGGGCATTCNCATAATTCTGCTTTTTTTTTTTTTTTTTTTGAAAATTTATCCCAGAAAGTTATAACCGTAATGCAATGAGTTGCTATAGCAACAAGCTGAAACATTAAGCGCTTAATCTGTTTTTTTCTAAACGAGTGGTAGCCTAAAAATTATATTTTCTCAGTTTTTGAACTTAAAACTCTTTACGAAAAAATAGGAATTTGTATGGAAATTTTTTATTTTATTCGGAGTATTTACCTTTTTCTTTATTTGCAAATTGAGCACACGGAGTTCAAGAAGGGATAGTTCCATTTTATTGATTTGAAATGCTTTGAACTGAATACTTTCAAGTATACAAAGTTAAACTTTCTGTGCTAGTCAAACGGTGCAGACTGTTGTATGACATTCGTTATAGTTATTACTTCATTTGAGTGTTTGCCGTGTAGGTAAACATAAATTTTAGCCCTCTCTCACTCTGTCTGCTCACCTTTGTTTTTTTACTCACAATTTCATGAGCTTCAGATTAATTTCATTAAAAATAGCTAGACTGCAGTTTAATTTCATTAATATTTGTCTTTTAGAAACTATATTGTATTCCATGATATGAAATTTCTATTGGGTTAGATTGTAGAATTTGGTGCACCTTGGATAGGCACTGTGCCTTGAAGCTTTTACTGTTTATAAAATCTTTAATTTTCTTATTATTTCTGTCTCGACTTATTATTAGATGAACAAAATATATCTATTTATAAAATATTTTATTTTTATTATCACTGAGATATAACTGTGTTATTTTCAAGGGTAAAATATTTTAAGAAACTTTACATTGACAAAAATTGTGATTACATGCTGTCTTGAAAAAAGATCTAGTCAAAAAGTTTATCGCAAATAAAATTTTATTTTTTAACATTAAATATGTGGAAAAATTGAGAAGTAATTAGGCACTAAATATAAACCCTAAAATTTTCCTCTCTTCTAAGACCTCATAAATAAATAAAATTTTTATCATTTCGTAGATGCATCCAAGGTGCTATCTTTTTGTAGGTTGTAACTGCTTTAATTATTTAGTTCAAAAATGAGTTTTAGTTCTTGAAAAAAAAATTTAATATATTTTTCCTGCTTAATTTTTACTTTCACTTTTATAAATTTATTCAGTAAGAAGTCATTTTTAAATTCCAACTTCCCTTAATTGTTCAAATATTTTTTATTTTGCCCTCATTTTCTTTTTATTGCTTTTAACTATTAAAAATTCTTTAATTAGTAGTTTAAAAAACTTCACAACGTTTTGACCAATGTCTTTTATATTTACATATACAGTCTGAACTAAATTGCTTCTCATTTATCTGACTACTCTGAACTTTGTTGTCCAAAGATTTTATAGTCGTGTTGTAAATTTTTAACGGCTTTTTATTTTTATGATAAATAAGGATTTTATAACTCTGAGAAGTTCTCATCTTTTTATTTTATTTGTTTCCCCCCCCCTTTTTTTTTCTTCATCAAAATTGGTTTGAAAATGAAGTTTAATTTTATTACTTGTATGTCATGTTTTTATTTATTAATTTTTTAAAATTTGATTGTATAATGCTGTTTCTTTCATTTTTGTTTTTGTATAGTATATTTGTTTTTAACTCTTAAGCAATGGCAGTCAACAATAAATCCACTAGTCTTGTTGTTTTTATTTGGTACACTGTATCTGTTTTCAGGTGATTAAATTCAATAAGCTCTTAAATTTAATGTAAAAAAATAATTAATTAAAAACTTATTGTTATTAGTTTTTTATGATGCATCTTTAATTTTCTGCAATTTAGAATCATTATTTTCTATAATATTTTTAGTCATGTTTTCTCCCAAAAACTTAGAAATTATCTAATTGTTTTTCATTTGCACATAATATCCAAGAAAATTTTTAAATCTGATTTTTAGTAATTTGCATATTATTAAGGAAATAAATATATTCTAGTTTTATATTATGTATGTAATTTGATAGTTCTCTTAAATGTTATTTTTTTTTCTAGATTAAATAATTATCCTTGTGAACTGAATAAAATAATAATTCAAAATGAAGAACCTTCTTAAAAATTTAGCAGCCGTTACTGTTACCTTTAAAATGGTAAGAAATGCATATTGTTTGAATAATTATAAATCTTGTCAATTTGAATTTCTTATTATATTTATTTTTCTATTCTATTTATTGACAGTTTTACTAATCTCTGACCAATTTTTTAAAGTCATAACATATTGGAAGTTGTCTTTAGTATATTATCTTGATAAATTGCACTATATTTGGCTTCCTATTTTGAGTTTAATCTGCAATTATCTCTGTTTTTTAATACATAAAAATGTATGTACAGTAGAGAACCGATTATCCGGAACGGTCGGGACCATCGCTATTCCGTATAACTGATTTTTTCCGGTTTTCTGAATCGCTACAAAAAGCCGTTTTTTTTATTGTTAAACCCAACTAAAAAAAAAAAAATATTTGGAAATAATCTTAAAAATAAGAAAAAACGATGAAGTAATACACTAATGATTATTTCCGAAATGATGATAAGGTAAACATCTTTAAAAAAAGAAAGAAAAATTGTAAAATCTTATTAGGAAAAAAAAATTTTTTTTTTTAAAAAATGGCGAGAAAATTTATTGAATTTCGTTCTGGTTTTTTGGTTTTCTGATTTCCGGATAACGGGTTCTATACTGTATTACATACTGTCAAAATAGGGAGATAAAATCTTTCACTCATTCTTCCATTAAAAATATTTATAAATATACTACATGGAGTTTCAGTTTCTTTTTATATAAATCAGCTTTTGGTTGATGGCTCAGGGTTGATGATTATTATATTTTTATTCTTGCTTTGGTCTTCTAATGTGGCCTGCTATTTGGCTTCTTATTTTAATGTAAGCATCTTTCTTTTATTTGACTTTCTAACTACCAAAACATTGTTTTCAACAATCCATTGTTTCTAGAAGTATTTGCCTTTCATATATGCTTCTATAACCACAACCCAGTTATACATATCGTCAGTTCATCAGTATTTAATTTTTTTAATGTTGTATATGCATAACGTGCAATATTTCTATGATGTAATTTTTCTTGATTTTAAATAAAGGTAAAAGTACACACAATTAAACACAGGGACTTAGACAAGTCTCAACAATTTAAATTGGATTGCTGTGCAGTTGTACAGCAGCTGATTTTTAAGTTTATCATCCCTGTATGGTATTGAGCCCCCTATATATATTTGAATTGCATGCTATGCATTTATTTACTTTGGCAACTACAGTGGCATGACTCTGTAGTTGTCAATTTATTGCTTCTCAGCTCTAAATCGTTCTTTTTACATATTAGCTTTATGCTTTGCTCCTGAATAACAAATTTATTCAAATGATTTTTCTTGTGTTTACATTCAAAATATTACTTTTCTTATTAAATTCTTCTATACATGTGAGTAGTTAATATGTGAGTAGTAAATAGTTTTACATGTGAGTAGCAAATAGCTTCAAGTTTTAAAAGTGTCAAATTTATTAAAAACACCACAGTCCCTATTATAAAGCTTATGAAGTTAACATTGATTTTTTCATAAAAATGATAGAATATTTAATGACTGTTTGTGAGAATTTTTGATTCAATAGAGAAATACTTGCTACAAAATACAGTTTATTACAGTTATTTTACAGTTTATTTTATTTGTTCAATTTTTTTAAATATTTTTAATAGCTTTATTCTTTGAAATTTTTTTAAATCTTACTATTTTTTATTCCTTAGGCTTTTGATGAAATAAAGAAAAATAAAATTATGAACACATTTGAAAAAGAATTCAATGAAGTTGTTGACATTTTAGAAAAAGCTTCTGAGTCTCATCAGAAGCTTTTAAATCAAATCCAAGAGCTCACTGCTAAGCTTGCCATTAATGAGGCGAATCTTTTTGAAGCTAATGCCGAATGTTGTGAAAAAGAAAAGACTCATGCCACTATAAAACAGGTTTTATTTATTCAAAGTTAATTAATTAAATCAATTAATTTGTTTGCATGGAATTTTTTTAAATATATTTGGTGGTTATTTTAATCTATAATTTGTTAAATATAAATTGTTTAAATTATTATATATCTATACAGAGTTCTCCCTAGAAATAAAAAAGGGCAGCGTGCTTTCTAACAGGAAAAAAGCACTCACTTTAGACCATAAAAAATTATCTAAATGTGTAATATTATGTAAAAGCTGAATTCAATCCTCAGTAACTTTAAAATTACCTTCTAATTACTATTTTATGCGTGTAATTCAAAAAGTAAGTCTCACTAATTATCAAAATTAGAGAAAAATATGTTTATCTTAATACAAGTTTAGATTATTAAATTATTACAATTAGATTATTACGATTAGATTACAATTAGATTATTAAATAAAAAATTATTGAACGTTAATATTTTGTCCATATTGTACATTTTTTATGCTAGATTTTACAGTTAAATTTTTCTGAACATTATTTTTCAATTTTCAGATTTTTCAAGCTATTTGTTTTACATAGCTACATGAAACTGAATTTTTCAAGGGTCTGAACAAATTATAATACCATTTTAAATTGAACAAAATCAATAACAATAAGAAACTGAAACAAATACTGAGTAACACAGTAACAAAGGAAAAGTAATTTACTCAAATTATTTAAGTAAAAATGCTTATAAATAACAAATTTGAAAATTATTTCAGAAATATTCAGTAAAGGTAAGCCAATTAAGAAAATTTCATTGCACTCAGCAAGTGAAAACTCGAATACTTTCAAAATAGTCTTTCCATATTGAAAAAAGTTACTGCCATTGTCCCCATCACTATTATTTCAGAAATTTATCACTGTGCAAGATTCTTACTCTCATAGCAATTGGATAAAAAAAGAAAAGAAAACAACAACCTAAAATTGTTTACATATCTAAAGAAATGTTGCAGAAACATTCTGTTATAAAAATACCAACCTCAAACAGTGGACTGATCGTTAAGACACGGTTCCCAGCAAATCACCGAAGTCAAGCATCACTGGCTGCGGTCAGTGTGCGGGTGGGTGACGACTTGGATCAGTCTGCGTAGGGACCGAGGGTGTGCGCTATTGGTCCTCGTTAAACTGTGCTACCGTAAAGTGCTCGACTTCGCGCGCAGGTCGTCGGGCTACCGAAACGGGGGTGCCATCCCCTCCGCAGAGGATCAAAATTGTGATGGCATGTCTTCGGATCATCCTCCGGGATGTTTCCCAGACTGTCGCCAATAGCCCATTGTGCAGCTCTAGTGCGACGTAAATTAACAACAACAACATCAAACATTTTAATAATTTTTGCTTGTATATTTTCCAAATTTAAAACTCAAATTTTAAGAAAGAGAATTAAATTGATATTTACTACTCTTCACCACTATTATTTTTTTGTAAAAACATTTAAACAGTATTGAGGTTATTAATTTTTTTTTTAATTATTTTGTTTCTATGAACATAAAACTGTATTTTTCATTTAAACATTGATAGATATAAAAATCAAATTCAAACTTTATGTATTTATAGAAATGGCTAAGTGATTTTTGAAATATTTACTTAATATTGTTTCCAGCTGTAATAATCTTCAATGTAATTTATTTAAGGATTTAATTAAAGCTTGCAAATGTATTGAAGATTTAAAGGAAAAGGAAACTAAATATAAAGAAACTATTCAAAAATTAGATGAGCAGATTTCAAATCTTATTGCTGAAAGAGATAATGCAATTCCTGAAAAGTAAGTACAACTGATTTTTCTTTTTCACTATTTTTGATTGTTTGAATCAATAAAAATATTTATTCATTTAAGTACAAAAATTTGTAGCGATTCTGAATATGTTAAATTAATTGCTTAGTATATATTTAATATGAAACCAATGTGTAACATGGTCATTTCCTAAGTAGCTTAAAATTTTTAAATAGAAAGTTTATATTTCTGTACTTTACACATTTACTTTGCTCTAAATAAGTTACTAGCAAAATAATTGAATTTACGTGTTACTAACTAAGCATGTAAATTTAAAAATTTGTTTCTAATGTTTTACTTACTAGTATTATTGTATATTATATAATTGGTTTTTCATCTCAACAACTGTTAAAATTTTAACAAATTATTTAAAAAAAAAAAATTGTATCTTAAATTTTTTTCTTTTATAAAAAATTAACAGACTGCAAATATCTATTTGTAGTTAAATGTTGATTTGTCTTGTGAAACAAAGTTATATGTTGTTTTAACTATTATACGTTGCTCTTTAGCTATATGTTGCCACAGAAATATAATTAAGTTACATGTTGCTCTTTAGCTATACATTTCTACAGAAAAAGTTATGAGTTAAATTAATAATCCCAAGAAACTGAAGCGGTAAAATATTACCTGATTAAAAACTGCATTCTCCTCAAAAATACATTAAAAGGAAATAACAGTCGATATGTTTCAAGAGCTTCATATAAATGGGCATCTATTTTTGAAGTTTTTGAAACATGTTGACTGTTATTTCCTTTGTATTTTTGAAGCGAATGAAGTTATTAATCATGTAAAGTTATATATTTTTTTGAGTTGCAGACATGTTGTGTATTTTGATACATTATATAATTCTTGAATTGTAAAATGCTCTTTCTATAAATACTTTAAGTTAATATATAGTATATTATAATATACTTTTAGGTTAATATATAATATAAATTCTATATATTCATGCATAGTTTTGGACTAGGGTATAATATATGTCGTTACCTTTAAAATGTGAACTATTATTTAAAAAAAATTTTTTTTTTCTTATAGATTGTTTACTTGTTTATGATTTTTAATATGTGTTCTAATAAAAAATTAAAATAAATTATAACCTTGTTTTACCAAGCTAAGTTTGTAGTTTTTTTAAAATTAAAATTTGCAAATATTATTCAATCCTGAAAATATGTGATTTTTTTACATACAAGTATCTTATATTTTCTAATCTATTTGATGAACATTTGAATTACAAGTTGGAATGAAGAATATTTGGTGGCTTAACATTTTTGATCTAGAATTCTATATAAACGTAATTTTATGGAAAATTTTGGAATTTATTATCAATGACCGATAAGAATTTAGTAATATAATTACAATAATCATAAAATATGTTTTTATTAAATTTACCCTTATTGTGATATCTTTTAGAGAAAAGGCATTTGAATTAGAAGCAGAAAGAGAACGGAAATTACTCAATTCAAGAATTTCACAATTGGAAAACGATTTAAAAGTAAAAGAAGATACTGAAATTGAAATAAAGAATAAATTAATGGAAACAATGGATGCTATGCAAAAGGTTCTGTTTTTAGTTCCTCAGTTCTATACTTGATTTATTTTGTTTTTTCCTTTTTCATAATGTATTCTTCACAAAAAATTCATGCTAAGAAAATCGTATTTTCTATTTTAAAGTAATTTTAATGTAGCATCATTTCTCTCGTATTTTTTCGTTTTTGTTTATGCTAAATTATTAGTTGTATATTAAAAGTATAATTTTATAGCATGAAAATTTATAAAAAGTTAGTATTCATAAAACCATGACACAAGTATGCCAAGTTCCTCACTTTTCTTATAATATATTTATCTTTAGAGATACTTTTAAAATGTTTTTAATATTATTGTTTAACATTTACTTTACAATTTTTTAATTTTCAAATGCTCTCATCAGAAAAATATATAAAATCACAAAATTGCAGTTAATCTATAAATGTTTTGATGTCTCTATCTCATAATACTTGTTTATTTTTAAAATCATAATTTTATATTGAATTTTGAATTTATAGGATAATTCAGGATAAGTAGCAAAATTTTTTAAAAATTATGTTTACTAAAATCTATTATCTGTTATAAATGTCATTGTGCTGTTAATATTGTGGCTCTTTCATTATATACCCTATCATTCCTCCAAATTTAATAATATAAATAATTGAATTACATGTTTTATTATTCATTTGCAGTTAGAAAGTAATGTAGAATCTTTGAGACTTAAGTTGAAGCAAGAACTAGAAAGAAATCAAAATGTAGTAAAAGATAGACATTTTGCTGAGAAGAATATTCGGGACAATAAAGATAGAGTTCAAGAACTTGAGGATGTGGTCCATTCTCTAAAAAATAAACTTGAAGAAACAAGTAGAAAAATGAATTCTTATGAAGTAAAGTATTTCATTTGGTTTGATTTTACGTTTTATACAATTAAATTTGTTCCAACTGTATTTAACAATTCTTAACTAGTAGCTACTATTAATATAAAAATTAAAAAACTAGTATCCTCAAGTATGTCTTTTCTTAAATTTTTTTAAATAGTTTATATTATAAGTTTATTAGTCGTAATGTAAGTTTGTAATTTAAACATAAAATAAGTTTCTAGCTATATCACATTAAGATTATTTAAAACTGTTTTTTTTTTTTAAATTTATTTTTTCTTAATTCTATGATATGCATTGATTATAACAAGAATAATGGTATAAAGTACCTAGATTTTTGATAATGGCGATTAGTATTGAATGAAATAGAAGTTGAAAAACTTGCTTTATTGTAATATAAATAGTAATCTGATAATTTATCTCAAAATATAATAACAATTACTCTGTTTTTAGGAAATATTTCCAAAGAGAGAAAATAATATTTTAGTAAAATACAAATAAAATAAGAAGTTAAATAACAGTTATGAAAGTGAAAAACAAAATCAATTAAAGAGTTGATTCTTTTTAAAAATTATGCTTCTTTTACTCCCTGATTAAATTAGATCTCATTTTGCATTATATAATTTATAAGAAAGGTTTTATGACTGGTTTTTATGAAAAGGAATTCATAGATTTTTCAGAACTTTTCCTCTCCGAGAAAGTAAATCATGTAAAAGCAAATAAAAATTAAAACTAGCAGTTTTTTACAATATGCAATTTTTCTCTGATAGGTATGCTATCATTTCTGTCCAATATAACATTTATATTGTGTATGGTAATCTTATCATAATCATTTTTCAGCTATGTTTAATACTGAAATTCTTGAATGAAATTAATATTTCTTTATTTATATTTCGCAGGCCAAAGTTGTTTCACATCAGAAGAAAATAAATGGTTTGCGGTCATTTTATCAAAAAGCAAAGGCACAAACTATGATTCAAATAAATAGTTATAAGGATATATCTGCTGAAAAAGACAAGTTGTCTATTTTAATTGAGGTAATTAGAAAGTTTTATGTTTATATATATATTTAACTGAAGAATTCATGTAGTTTTTTTTTTAATATCATTTTTATTTTCTTATATATTGTTAACAATATGTGTGTCTTAGATAATTTATAAATTTCAATTTTAATTTTTATATTCTAAATAGAGCAGAGATTTGTGGCATGTTCAAAGCTAATTATTTTTATGGCATTAGAAATTATTTTAAATTGATTTTCCTTAAAGTCTGTACTAGAAAAAAATTGTCAATATTTTTTTTCATTGTGTTACATTTCCTTTTCCTGCTTGCAAATTATTGTATGATAAAAACTTAAAACTGTGTAGTTTGTAATATTATTCAAATTAGACTGAATGATTAGTTTTATCAGCATATATTATTAAATTTAATGTAAAATTTGGCATAATGTGGATCTGAAGAGCCATACAATTACTGTCTGAATTTCAGGTTTGGTTGGTTTGAAAAACATAAAGTCTACTCCTTTATTTATTTTATATTCAAATATTTTATTTTGTATGTAAATTACTTACCTTTTCTTCCATTCTTCAAAAAAAAAAAATTTCGATTAAATATTGCTCAAACATGTTAAGTATGTTTTTATAATGTGTAAATTATATTTTAAATGAATTATTGATTAGTTTTTCAAACTGTATTAAAACAGTTGTATTAAAAATTGTTTTAAAATATCATTTAATTTTTTATAAATTCATACTGAAAAGGAAAGTGTACACCTGTAAAATCTGTATTAAAACAAAATTAAGTGTAAATTTAAGAGCTTGGTTGAAAACCATGGATAGGGTAAATATTTGCCACTACTGTTGCTCCTGGGTAAAATATTCCCCTTTAAAGTTTTAGTTCATTTACTTTTAACTACTGTGGATTTGTAGTGCAATGGTTAAGCTATTCGTCTTTTTCTATGCTTTTTTGACATTTGATTTTTATTTCTAGATTTCTGATCTATTGGTTTGTTTGAAAAGTAATGTTTTTTTTTCTCCTTATAAAAATAAGACTATTTTTTAGAGTGCATAAATATTTTATTGAACTATTCACTCTGATCTAATACTTTTTGCCATCTTTCTGGCAGTAGCATGATGCCACGCTCATCAAATGTTTGTTCTTTGCTGGCAGAATATAGGGGATTTTCGACCTCATTTGAAGTATAAGTTTTATTGTCTAAAACATTTTGTAGAGACTGGGATATTATTATAGACAACTCGTTTCTCATTCCCAGTGGTGCACTTCAAATATGGATTATTTTCTTGATGTTTGAGAAACAAATCACTGACATTAATGCCACAACACAAATTTCTTTCTGTAATAAAATGAGGAACACATATATCGAGCTTTGAGGTTAAACCTGGGCGTTTCAAATGATCGTGGATGGTTGAATTTGATAAATTTAATCTCTCAATGATCTCACAAGTTATTATTTGCTGGTTTGCATCAATTACATATCTGCCAACATTCGATAGATAAAACAAGGGAGATTTTACCAGCGCATTTTTTAAGCTATGAGTAAAGTTTTGATACATCATGCATAATCATGTATATCACAAAGATGAATTCAAAATGGAAATAATATAAGCACTTACGTTTATCGAAGTAAAAAATATGTATATAAAAAAACGATTTTTAAAACCATTTATAATTACTTAAACTATTTTATAGCCATTGTTAAACAGCCAACCCAATTTTGGGTTTACGGCTACTAATGTTCAACTTTGTAGCCTTGTTATTTTGAATCCAATCCAGAAGACAGGGGAACTCTTGGATCAATCAAGTATTGGAAGAAATTTGCCATCGTGGAGGACATTTTGATGGAACTAACCCGCATTTGTGTTACATGGAGAGGAAAACCACAAAAACCTTCCATGGGTAGCCTGACCGCAAGGGGTACTTAAACTATTAACACTCAACATACTGCGTAATAGCACTATCTGTTGGAAGAAGAGAAGTATTTTCTTCAGCAGATATTTTTTCTCAAATTTTTTTTTTAAAATTTTTTCAGAAAATACGGAGAAATTTGAGATAGTCGTAAAATACAGGAGTCTTCTTTAATAAACAGGAGACTTGGCAGGCATGCAATTAATGCCTTTATTGTGTCTGTACCAGTTTTAAATTGCCTTCTGAAATAAGGAACATTTTCAACATCAAAATTTTGCAAACCAGTTTTGTCACTGGCTTTCAGTCAAAGTATCCTCTCCATACACGTCAGGTAATTTTTTTCTTACTTGACCTGCATTTTAATCTTTTAGATAGTAAAAAAGTAAAATAAACCCAACATGCTTCCATATTTAAAAGGGCATCAATCAAAACTATTTAGTAGAATCAATGAAAACTTTTTCTCAAGTAAGTCATGCTATATCATTTGTCAAAACAAATAATGATTATGCAGCTTCAGTGTGAAGTTGGCTGTGAAAAAATACATTTAAGTTCTGTGTTGAGAAAAACTAAATTACTTTTTGAACAACACAATAACAAGATAGATAACAATTTAACATGGTTTATTCATTATACAAATTATTATCTTTTAATTTAAATAATTTTTTTTAGAAAATTAAAGTTTTTAAAAACAAGATAATTATAGATGTTTCATTATTTCAATTCTTTAATTAAAATATATGAATTATTAAAGCAAATTTTTGTAATTTAGTAATTTGATTTTTTTTAATATGTTTGACTGAATTTATTTTATTTTTTAACAATTATTTTAAGTTTTTATTAAATTTAATTTTGAAAATTTAAATAAAATTATATTAGGATTCTTGTTAAAAAAATCCGAAGAAGGAATGAAACGAAAAGAACTATTTGTTACTGAAAAAGGAGATATCATTAAAAATTTTAATTAATTAATTTTTTTATCAAGACTTATAATGTAATTTTGCTTACATTTTCATAATTAAATTTAATAAATTTGCGCGCAGGTCGTCGGGCTACCGAAGCGGGGGTGCCATCCCCTCCGCAGAGGATCAAAATTGTGATGGCATGTCTTCGGATGTTCCCAGACCGTCGCCAATAGCCCATTGTGCAGCTCTAGTGCGACGTAAATTAACAACAACAACAAATTTAATAAAAACTTGGAATATTTATTACAAAATAAAAAATTCAGTTATGTAAATTACAAATTTTTTTAAAAATAATTCATATATTTATATTTAAAAAATAAAAATAATAAAGCATCGGTCCAATTTTTTAATTTTGGTGGCCAAGCGGTTAGCGTGCCTGATTGCGAAGCCAATGGCTGCTTGTTTGAACCCCACTCTGGGCATGGATGTTTCTCTCTATGTGTTGTCCTCTGTTGTGTGAATGTGGCCCACCCTATGAACGGGTATCTGTGGCAGTGTGGCCTGGGTAATGCTGCTCGCCTCCGTGACTTAGGTTCACATGTGCCCACTGGGTAACGTTAAATGAGCAACACTTCAGCATATTTCCAGGTGAAGAACGTCAAAATTCAGTACCTGCCAATCGAAAAGAAAATAAATTTAATTTTAAAAGTTTAAATGTTGTAAAAAAAATAATAATTTATGTATTGATTAAAACATACTGAATTGTTATCAATCTTATTATATCAAAAATCTAGATATAATCAAATTATTTTATTCCTTTTTTCTGTGATTGAAATGCCTGATCTCTCAGGTAGATAGCTTAAATATTGCGCTATGAATCCACCTTAGTTGAAACGTTTTATTTTATAAGTAAATAAACTAGAATTTTAAAGCGGCATATTTTATTCCTTTGGCAGCCATAATGGCAAAGGTTTGATCTGAAATATACTAATTAGTTAGCGTACACAATATTTTTATTTTTAACTACGAAATCAGGTACAAAAACATACTTTCTTTGAATACACACATCTTTTTTTCCACGGATTATGATTTCTTATCCCCAAAATATACAGGGTAGCAACAATCTCGGAAATATGATCCCAATAGTTTTAGTCAGGCTGTTGAAAGTTTGGGCCCATTAATGTTAATTTTTTCATATTTCGCCATATCTCAAAAACTGTTTAAGCTAATTGAAAAAATTATTTGTAATACTTTTTTTATATTTTTATTTATTAATGGTCGAAAAAAATTTGAATTTTAAGGCATACAAATTTTTACATTTAAAAAATGTAATTTTAAATGGCTAAAAACTAAACTTGAACAATATTGGTCCAATAGTTCCATAGAAATTGAAATATCTGACTTTTATAAAATTCTATTGTTTGGCAGCTATTCAACCGATTTCATTTAAATTTTGTCATATAAAATGACATTATTTGTAATTACTATCAAAATTGGTATACCGTTCAATTTAAAAATTTTTACCATTAAGGGGTCACAGTACCCAAAAAATGACAAAAATACCAAATTTTTCTTTATTGCTTATAATAAAACTTCAAACTATTTCAAATGTACAGAAAAAATTTCATCTATCTACATTTTTAAAAAAGTTATGAATGATTTTAAATTGTTCTAATACAGAAACTTGCTCAGCAGTCTGACTTTAAAGTGTTTTTTCGCATAGATGATAATTTTGTGTCTTAATTAAATCCATAAGGAATTTTTTCTATTTAAGATAAAATTTTGAAGTAAACTTTTTTATCTTGAGTATAATACACTTATTTAAACTGTGCATGGAATAAGCATTTTATGAGGTATTACAATTTTTTCGGCATGTTATATATTCCAAACAGGAATTTTTACCCTTTTTTTCTACTTTTTTACAAAATAATCTATAAAAAATATTCTAATTGATATATCAACAAATGAATGCACAAAATTGTTAAGATAAATATTGCAAGCACTATGAAAAAAACTTTTTTTGAAAATATGTTAAAATAAAAAAGCCTTAGGGATTTAAAAATTTAGAATTTTTTAAAATTTTTTTAAAATTTTAAACAGTTTAATTATTTTTTGAAGATAAATTATTGATTATAACTTAAATGAGCATGTAAAGCATCCTCAAAATGAATGATTATACCTTTATTTTAAAAAATTGTTGCAAAGGTACTGTGACCCCTTAATAAATAAAATAATAAAAAATAATTTTTGAAAATAATTATTTGCTTGGAATAATTTTTGCTTATAACAGGATAAAAAAAAAATTCACATGATATGGCGAAATAAGCAAAAAGTAAATTTAACAGTACGGTGTCCAAACTTTAGACATCTTGCCTGACAAAACTATTCAGGCTACCCACTTTATTTTGGGGGTGTAGAATCATAATCTGTCTAAAAAAGTATGTTTATGTAGAGATAGTATATTTTTGTGTCTAATTTCCCAACTCAAAATATCGTTGCGCTGATCAATTGGCAAATTTGAGGTCATCCTCTCAAACCATTAAGGTTGAGTACTAGTACGTGGAAATCCGATCATTAGTCCAAATGCTATTAAAGGTGTTATTTTTTTGTGCAATGTATATTTTCATTGTGAGTAAATTTTAATAAAAGGCTATAAAATAGAGAAAATTTATGTTTCATTCTTTTAAAACTAGTGAAAAATTACAATAAAAAATAACCTAAATAGGAAATGAGTAAAAAAAAACTATTCTCATTTATTTTTACTTTCTCAAATGTTTATTTATTTATTTATTTTTTTAAATAGATATACATGTGGCTGATTTAAAAAAAAAAAGGTCTGCTCATCTCACTATTGAGTAAAGTAAATGTTTGGAAAAGTATAAAATTGACATGTTTCAAGAGCTCCAAAGCAGGTAGTTATTGCTGAGACTAACTAATTGAAAATGAGGAAAACAAAACAAATTTAAAAGAAAAAGAAACATCAAGTTGAAAACAAAGAACAAGGAAAATAAAATAAAGGTGGAAAACAAAACTAGAAAAACTATGGCAGCAGAGAGGGGCAAATCAGGGCAGGATGTATTTCCAAGTGTTATGAGGTGTGGTGAGAAACTCATGTTGTTAACTAGGGCAATGGCATTCATATTAATGAAACAGGTTAGAAAGAATTTTGTGGGTTATGCCAAACTTTTTTCACCAAAATTCTTCCAAAAAGATGATTAAATTGCAATTTGAATGTTTTTTGATAAACTTCTAAACTAAAGAGATCCTCAAAGAAATAAATTGAAAGATCATCAGTAGGTTTAAGAACTTCCATGTGACTCGGGTAACAGGTAAGTTTTGAACATACTTCCGACTCATTATGTCCCTAACAACTTCCTTAGTTATGTGTTCCCAGCTAATTTTAGATTCTTTACTTCATGGTCACCTTTATCTCCCCAATGCCTTCCCTTTTCTCTCTGTGTTCCAAGAAATAAGTTATGGGCTTTAATTGTATTTTATTATGTTTGGCGTTCTGGGACAATTTTTGTAATTGAGCTGAAGTGTACTGAGCTGCTAGAGAGAATCTGGTCATAAATCTTTTCATGTGTGAATGAGAAAAAGTTGTTGGGTGAAATTTATTATTTTTCTATAGTTTGCTAGACCTTACTGCAAAATATCTTAACAATATGTATTTTTGATTTTTCATTATTTTACCCATTATATCAAGTTTTTTTATTTTAGAGAAAAGAGGAGGATTTGAAAACTTTAAATGGAAAACTCGTTAACATTATAAATGAAAAAGAACAGTTGCTACAAAAGCAGTTAACACTTCAGACTCAAAAACAAAATCTTGAAAGTAGCAATGATCAGTTAAAGAAAGAGTTGCTAAATAATGAAAAAGGTAACTTTAATAATTTTTTAGTAAACATTTTTTTTCGCTCTTTTTCTCTCTCTTTCATTCGGATTCAACGATTTTAGTATTATTTTATTTTATGCTGTTTTACTTTTTATAGTTTAACTAATGTTCATTTTTATTTTAATTTAGTTGCATGCATCTGCATCGTTATAATACTCTCTCATCCTATCTTTGCACATGAATTTTAATTTAAAATTCTTCTCTGTATGTCTTTATTTAGTCATCTCAAAGCACTTACTGTTCATCATGAGTTTCTGAAGGCAAGTGTATTTGCACACAAGGCAAGTGTATTTTGTCGTTTTACTATTTCAAAATTATCGTTCTACTTTTCAATTTTTTTTTTTTAAAGTTTCAAATAACAATATAAACCACATTTATTGATACTTTTAAACAACTATTGTTCTTTATGATATTAAAATTCATAAAAAGATCTATTCTGAAAAATTTATATGAAAAGAATAATGTAAATAATTATGATCATAAGAAACATATTTCTTTAGGATGTTTACTATTTACTATAAAGAGAAATCTTTTTATTGGATATTTTATTATTATTATTATTAAATAAGAAACATATCTTGAAGAGTTTAGTAAGACTGTTGTAAAATATAAACTAAAACATAAAAGGTCAGAATGAACTTATAAAGTACTTTAATGCTAAAAAAAATATAGAAAAAATTAATGAGTCACTGTTATATTCTATTAAATAATAAGTCTGAAATATTTACTGGTATTGATTTTTATATAAGATTATAAATAAGAATAACTAGTTTCAAATAAATTGTTATATAATTCTAATACAGTCATTAACAGGGATTTGAAAGAACGATTCTGATTTGTTTTTAAAAAGTGAAATTTTTACAAAAAATCACGGCGAATAAAAATTTACAAGATTGAACTCAAGATTTAATCCTAAGTGAATATTTGGTACGAAAATGAATTCAAAATATTACTGTTTTTTTTTTTAAAATTCAAATTATGCTGCATTATCATTGTTGTTTATTTTTATAAATTGAATGCCAATAAATTATTTTTAAAATTTTGAAAACATTAAGATTACACATCATTAAAAATTATTTAAGTTTGGCAAGAAAGAAACAATGGCCAAAATTTTTATGTTACTGAAAAAAAAAAAGACAGTGAAATATAGCTTCTTGTCTTATAGTAAACAAAATTAAATTATAAAAAAAATATTACACAAATCTAACTTGACCAACAATGATACTATTTTTTTTTCTCACATGCTTTTAATTTTATGTGTGTATAAAAAAATTTGAATCTAAGTTCTTGAAATTAAATTTTATGTATTGATTACTCAACTTAGTTTTAACCATTTTCATTTTTAGAAATTATGAAGTTAAAATTAAAACAAGCTCAGCATGATTCAGAAATGTCTTCCATGATCAGAGAGAAAGAATTATTAGCCAATGTAAGCTTACTTCTTTTGTTTAATTTGTATTTTTAAATATTCACGGAGCACCGGGCATTTATATGTATACACACAAGGATCTGCAAATACTAGGTATCTGGTTGCCATAATGCCTAATATTTTACTAAAATTTAATTAGTTTGTTTTTAAATTTAAAAATATTAACAATTTTAGGCAACTAACTCTTCAAAATTAGTCTTGAATCTTTCTGTCTATCTTATCTTATCTCATTTTTTTTTATCTACTAACCCATCTAATAAGTTAGTATGTTTTTATGAATGTATGTATATAGGTATGTATGCATGAATGAAGATCTTTTAAAAATCCTCTAGAGATTTTTCATATTGATTCTTAATTTAGTTCCTTAATTCTCTTTCTTTCACATTAAGTTAAACCCAAACCCTTTCTGCCATTAATTCACAAACAATTTTTCATTCATATTATTATTTTCTATTAAATAATTTATTATAAAACAGCATTCAGCATTTCTTGGAAACAGTTAAAAAAGATCTAGCACAAAAGATCAGATACCTCTCAAGGAAGAGAACCTTTCAAAAGTCTTATTTCCGCTTTTTTATTAGCACGTTTATGACATAATTAGGTATCTTTTAAATTTTTGCCTAAATAATCCCTACCATTAAAAGCAAAGCACCCAAATAATGTTATTTAAATGGGATAAAGAAATGCATGGCAACAATAAATTGATAACATTATGATAGATTATCACTGTCAAATGCTTATAAATTCAAATTTTTTTCTTTCATAAATTTTGTTTTATTGACTGCAATTGCTTAGTACTATATAGCCAGTAAATTAAGGGAATTTCTTTGAATTATTCTTTTAATTTTCTTTAAAAAAAGAAATTCGTTCAGTTAAATATATGTTTTCATGTGTTTTAGAATGTTGTGAAAATGGAAAGTTTGATGGAAAAGTATTCTAATCAGTGTAAAATAAGTGAAAACGAGCGAATTAAGCTGCATCATGACATGAAAAATGCTGAGCAACAAATTATCAAACAAAATAAAATTATCAGTACTTTGGAAGGAATGAAATCTCAGTTGCTTAGTGATATAAAAGATTTAACAAAAAAGGTAATTTTTTTCTTTTTTAAAAAAAAAAAAAAAATTATTATGATATCTGTTAAATATTTTGTTTCAAGCGAAATTTTTACGTTTATAATTCAAATTAGTGTATCATCCATTTTGTGATATAATTTTTATGGTTTTATGGAACATTAAATTTAATGTGCTATGTATTATTCATTTATAGCATAAGAAATTCCACTATTTTAAACATTTACTTATTCTATGCTCAATATAATTCTACTCTGTGTGTATTCATCCTTATTAATTCTGATATAATAATAAGGATGAATCTATTTTTAATGATGGAGTCTTAATTTGAAGGTTTTTCATAAAGTTTAATCTAGAATGAAAATAAATTTTTGCGGAAATCTTTTGCATAATATGCCTAGAAATGTTTTGAAAATTATCGCCCTTAAAATATTTACTTTCTCACTGAAATTTGGTACCTATTCTTATCAAATCTTTGATGCCATAATATTTTCCTCTTTATTTATCAGTTTTTCATTCGTATTACTTCATATCTACTAGTTGAAATTTCATATCTACTTGTTGATAGCTGGAAAATCTTACCTCCACAGCCCCAAATAGTAACAGTAAAAATGTTAATATTTATTTTAATTTCCTTTATTTTCAAAAAGTTACTTCAATTAATCGAAATATTTGAAATTGAATTTTTATTGACTTCAACCCGTTTCATTTACCTCTTGAACCTTTTGTCATGTTTAAACCTAAATAATTTCCCTCTTTAATTATCCTTTAAAATTATCTCAACTCTTTTTTAATATTAATAAATAAAATAAAAGCTACATACAATTACAAGAGATGTAGAATAATCTTATTACAGTAAAGATAGCTCAAATATTGATGAAACCAAGATATAAAAAAAGTTCTAATAAGATATAAGAGTTCTAAGGTAACTTTTAAGTACTCTGTTTATATTTAAGTATTAGGAAGTTGCACATGAGGTTGCAATGGAAGGGGGAAAACTTACGTATTACAATATATTCGGCTTTGTTTCGAATGTTTTTATGAAGTTAATCAATCGAATCCTGAGAAATTAGAACTAAAAGATCAGAAATTATTAGAGTTTGATATTTATTGGTGCATCTGACATTGCTATCTAGACAAGTGAGGTATTGTTTCCTATATATTTTTGCTCATTGAATCAGGGAGTCAATAGAACTAATGTGTCAATAATAATTAGATGTTTTTAGGATTTTGTGTAAAAAGTATTGTTTTCGAATTATACTTCTTCCTAAACATATTTATTCTGATTCGAGCAAGACCAAGTGCAAGTTGGTGTGATAACTAGTTAAAAAGTTATTAGAGTTTTGTTGATAAAAAGTACAATTCTGAAATAGTACTTACACAAATAAACCTATGCAACTTCTAGACTATAAGTTTCATTTACACATGTTTGATTAAACTCTATACTCCTGTAATACCTGACTTATCGGGATTATCATTTGGGAAAATAAGTGAAAATAACAAATAGTACTGTTTTTAAATAGAATAATAACTGACCTAATTTGATATTGAGAGTGAAAAACAACATTAGAAACAATACTTGTATAGATAGACACATCGGATGTGTAAATAGGCACAAGTACACAATTGTACTCTGAACAATTAGTTTTATTGTCTTGTAATTAGTTTAATTTGTATTAGTGTAAAAAATTACATTAGGAATCAATGCCTCACATGCCTAAATAGCAGTATGTAATTGTATCGTTCTTTAACACCTTTTCACCAAAACCCAGTAGATACAGTCATGCAACTTTTTATCACTTACTAAGAGTGTCTTAAGTTCAAATCATATTATTCTTTTGAGCAAGTTAAAATTTCCTTAGCTTTCCATACCTATTTTTATTATACTATCTCAAATCTTTGTTTTACCAAAGATTTCAGATAGTATAACAAAAATAGAAATTCATGCTTCAGGATTTCTGCTACCAAGTGCATTTGGGGTTTTAGATTTTATAATCCATACTTTTTTATAGCTACAACTTTCAAAATAATTTAGAATTAAACATGTATTGAATTTATATTTCATGAATTCCATTATAAAGTTCAATCATTTTATTTACTAAATTGATCATATCTATACACCAAAAAAGAATTAGAAAAAATAACGAAAACATATTATTTTATCATCAGCTCACACAACTGTATCCACAAAAAGAGTGTTTATTTAATACTGCATTAAGTAAGCCAAAGCAAAATATATCAATGCTGTATTAAGGAAGCCAAAGCAAAATATATCAATGCTGTATTAAGCAAGCCAAAGCAAAGTGTGTGAAGCACCAAAGAGAGATAATAAAAAAAAGAAACTATTCAAAAAAAAAAAGTTTTATCAAGTAAAAATCACAATTTTGTGATTTTCATTTGATAAAACTTAATTTTCATATTGGTTTCTTTTACCCTTTTAATAGTTGATAATATATATATATATGTCAACAGATAATTTCATGAAACTGTTCTGAATAAGACATTTCGTACAGTTCACTTTATTTCATTCATTACAACTAACTACAGCACCTTATTAAATTAATCTCTATACAATTTTTATGAAACTCTTTAATGGGTTGCACGTAATTTTTACATCACATTTATACATAAAATTTTAAAGTTACTTATAATGCAAAAATGTAGTCACTAACAAATTATTAAAATTTTAGATTGAGAACCAGAATAATGAGTTATCTTCTCATGAAGAAAAAGAAGCCTCATCGCAATCTTTAATTACTGATATTAAAAATAAGTTGTCTCAGCAGATAGATATATCCAGTGGGGCTATTGCAGATCGAAAACATTTCTGTCAACAATATAAAGAAATTAAGGTGATATTTTTTTTGTAATTTTTATTAAACATACTTCAAAGTTTGATTGAATCATTTTTTATATTTTTGAATTATTTTTTAGTTGTATTAAAATATTTTCTATTCATTTTCACTTAATTGGAAATTGATAATGTTTGCATTTTCTGCTACTCTGTTCAATTACTCTACTTTATTCCTTTTTATAGTCTTATTTAAATTATTATTTTACTCTGTGATTATATTTTCAAGTTTTTTTTTAAAAGAAAAAAATAGGATTTATTGGGAGAATTACACAGTAGCACATTATGTTAAGTATTATTTTCCCTAACCATTACTCTTTATTTGATAAAATTTTTTGAAAGCATTCTTTTGTCTTTTAAAGAACTAAGTATGTGCTATACACAATGCAAGATAGAAATGATAAAAATATTTATAATTGGTTAAGATTTATTCAGATAAGTGTTTAAGGTAACAATTTTACTTTTATAAAGTAACATTTCTAAGGATAAGCGATAAATTACCAGAATTATGATATATCATTACACTAAATTTATTAAAATGCATTTTTAAAAATTTAACTTAAAAACCACTGATTTGTTTTGTGTTGACATTGGTAATATAGTATATTCTGTTTCACAAATTGTATGAAAATTTTTAATCACCGTTTTTTATTCAAGCTATTATTTTATTTTCAGGAAAGTAGAGATCAACTGAAAATGAAAGTTGATATTTTAGACAGCTATGTGAATGAACTTAATGCCTCTCAACAATCACATGAAGTGGAGTTAGAGAACTGGAAAAGGAAATGGAACTCATTAGATTTAAAGAACAAAACCCTAACTTCAAAACTAGCACAAGAAGAGTCTAACAATACTGCTCTAAAAAATGAGCTTAAACATTTAGAGGAGCAAATACGATCCCTTTTACATTCTGTTGGAAGTAAGGAAAACGAAATCTGTGTCCTCCAATCAAAATTACTCCATGTAAGTGTTTTTTGAATACGTAATTAAGAAAGAAAAATAAATATGGTTATTTACAATACATGGGGTATGTAAATAAATCTATTTATTTCACTTGAATTTTAGTTATGTAAGGACTCATCATCAATTTAGCAGAAGCGAATTTCATAAGCTAAAAATATTGCTATATCAGTTTCAAATTTTTTTAAACATAAGAAATGGCTGCAAATTTATAAATGTCCAATTTATTTGCCTATAATCATGCTATACAAGAAGGAAAAAAATTTTGTTTATTGTTCTACAAAAATTTTTTAATCTATTTATATTACTTGAAATTTAGTAATATAAGGATTCAACATCAATAGAAGTTAACTGAATTTTAGTGGAAGCTAATTTCACAAGTAAAGACTATTGCTTTATAATTTCATTTTTTTTACTATAGAAATGACTGCAAATTTATACATGTCCTATACCAATAATCATGCTATGCAATCTGAAAAGAATTTTGCTTATTGTTCTACAAACATTGATGAACAAGATAAAACCATAAAAAATTTTATTGTAAGAAATATTTGTATTGATTACATGCAATTTTAGTAATAATTCAGTTTCATAAAAATTTAATTTATACATCATTATAAATTTTTTATTTTGCTATGTGAAAAATGTGATATTCGGCTGACATTTTTCGACAAAGAGAAATATTATTTCTAAACTATTTTTATTATAATTAATATATTAAGAATTTTGTTTTTCATTTTTCTAATAAGAAAAGAAAGGCCTTTTTGGAAAGTTGTATTTGAAGTTTATGGAAACTTATGATAAAGTGTAAAACACGCGGAATATTATTATAAAATTAAAAACATAAGCATCTTATTTGATTACTGTTGCATCTTATTTGATTGACTTTCTTATTTTTTTTCAGAGAATGTAACTTATTGTTTCTTTAAATACTAAAAATGAAATATTTTTATTTCATAGGCTACAGAAGAGTGCATGGCATTAGGTACTCAAAGTCAACAGCTGAAAAAACTAATTGCCTCCTTGGAGACAAAACTTCAGATATCTGAAAATGCAGTATTGAGAGAACAAGAACTCTATTCAACACTAGAAAGTACAACAAAGATGTTGCATTTAGAAATTCTAAGACTCACTGGAGAAAAAAATACTTTGATGACGAAAGTGAATGATTTACAAAAGCTAAAAGACAGTTTTATGTACGCAAAAGAGGAGTTACTTAAAGAACGGAATAAGAATTCAGCATTGGAACTGGAAATACAAAGACCATTAAATGTTCATAGGTGGAGGATACTTAACGTAAGGGAAGTTCAGTAAAAAATTGGAGTTAAAAATACTTTTTCTGTAAATTTACTTAAGATTTTTATTTAATTATTTTTTTAATGTTCTAGACTTTTAGCATTATTTATTCTCAATCAAAAATTTATTTATATTGGTAGAAGCATGTTTATAAAAAATTTGGGGCATTTAATTTTTAAATCAACTCAATATCCTATTTCTTTTTATAAAATTAACTTGACTTTCTTTACGTATCTAATTTGCTTATTTTTAACTCCAGTGTTAATAAAAACACTTTTATACCATTCCACTCAGTTGATGTATGCTTTTTGTATCTTTGGGAAAACTTTTAGAAAAAGTATCAAATGAGGTGCTCTTTTCTCCAACTAATTTCCACACCGCAAGAGGACTTTCAGCCACAACAAACTTAATGAACATGCTGAGTTTAATTGGCCACCAAGATTGAACTTAAAATCCCCCCTCCCTTGATGTCTTAATTGAGTATGCTACCAGTAACAGTATCTGTATTAAGTACCTATTGCTACAACATCAGCACTACTTCTTACCATTAAGCATCAATAATAATTTGGTGGTTTTTCTGCCTCTCCCTCAGAAAAAAAACAAAAAAAAACATACTATTTTTTGTGGTTAATATGAATCAAACTAGGTTAATATGAATTTAATTAAACAACTTGAAAGCATATTTTATTGACGCATTAATTTTTACAGAAAAAAAATATTTAAATCAAAACATTTTATTTTAGTAAAACTAAAATGTGATTGATTCCTTTAAAGTTATATGTGCTTGCAATCACATTTGTCTTTATAGTATTTTGGTATAAGTTTTTATCAATCCCAAATCAAAAAAAAAAAATTTAAATTTTATAAAACAATTGTTTGAAACAAATTATAATTAATTTAAAAAACATTTTTACATAAATATATAAATAAAATTGTTAAATTATACTTTTTTATTTCAATGTTGAAAATATACATGTACATGGCTCATTTCTCATTCAATTTTACGGCTTAGAATTTTCCCACCTGTTATATAAGGGATAAAGACAATTTTTTTAGCATTTCTTCATGCAAAAATACCTCATTAGTTTGCTTTAATCCTTGTAAAAATAAGTAATATTTTTATTCTTTTTATTTTCTAGGGCATTGACCCAGAAAAATATGAGATTTTGGAAAATTATCAGGTGTCCCAGAAGCAACTTTTAAAAAAGTGTATTGAGGTCGAGAAAAGGGATAAGAAAATATCTAGTATGAATAAACTTGTTACCCAATTGAAAAATATAACAACTAAACAGAAAGATATTGAAGAGGAGCAAGTGAAGGTGATAAACCAAAGCCAAGTTATTAAAGAAAAAAATGATAAAATAAAGGTATAGTTTAGAACAATTTTAATATTTTTTATTAGTGATTTATCTTAATTCAACTTGTATATAAATCCTATTTCAAGTCTGAAATATTATTTATTATGACATAATATAGACATAAAACAGAAATTAATTTATTAATAAAAAGACTAAAACCTTAAGAAAGGCATTTCTCATAAAGGGTGGATTTGTTCTTGTTAAATCACATTTTGGACAATTAAATTAGTTATTATTTTATTTTAGATTTCAAAGTAAATACCAAAATCTTTTGATGAAAAATATTGATGCGGCAACAATCAATGGAATGTTATGATTTATCTCTATACCACATGCATGGTCAACATTAATAAATAATGAATGTCCTAATACTGTTAGTTGTTAGCAGCATAATTATGAAATTAGAAGAGTACTTACCTGTAAACAATTTATTTAACAATATTTCTCTATAATATTTATCATTTCTTTTAATATTATTCTCGGGTTTTCATTCAAATTTAAAGGCTTTAGACAAAAGTGATGTTTTTGTATCATTGTTTTGTAATCATATGACATGTCCTTATTAGGCAACATTTTATGATATACATATTTAGTTACTGTTTTATAATAAGTAAATATAGTTTATTTGCTTCACAGCAAGTAAACTATATTTACTTATTTCATATTGATCTGTATCCAGTCAACTTATGCAACTAAAATAATTATTGCAAAATAAGTATTTAATCTGCAAAGAACTAGAAACCTAGGAACTATCTTTTTGCACTAATGCTAAAAAAATTTTTGGTAAAAAACGATATAAAAATTTCTTAGGGCTCATTAAAAGTTTGTTTCTCCTAATTGAAAATAAAATTTAATTTTGGTGTTATATCCTGTTAATGGTCAAGAAACAAAAATTATTGCAAAATAATCATGGGGGATGATGAATGATGTGAACAGGACACTTCTATATTATTGTATGATTTTTTTTTTTTTTTTACTTTATTAGAAATGATAAAATGAAACTGAGTTTATAATTTTAAAGCATCTTAAGATGCTGATATATAACAAAAAGTCAAATTTTACTTAACACATAAAGAGTGAGAACTATATTATTGCATTATAATTTTATCCTAATGTTTGTTTCATATTCGAGCGGAAGAACTTAGTTTAATAAAAAAAGATATTATTACTAGGATATAAGCAAATTGAAACATTTTTGCACACAATTATAGAATTTGTGTATCCAAAGATAATCCAATGCAAAAAATTAATCTTAATAATTTTCCTGAATTTCACATGGCACTATTTTGTACAAAACAACTCTAGATGAAAGTTATTTATTGTTTTATAATTCCAAATTCTAGGCTTTAACTTTTGAAATCAATATGAATGAAACCTATATGTCAAGTTACCAAGCTGAAATAAGTCGACTAAAGGAAGAACTTAGAAAACTGAAAGTAAAACAGTTCTTCAAAGAAAAAAGGAAAATTTCACCTACTATAGGTAATGTCTTGTGATAGATTCTTTATTTATAATATCGAAATTCAACATCAAAATAAATAATATTTTTAATCTTTTTTTTAGGATGATACTGACAGCCAAGATTCTATTGCTTCAATGAAATATTTGAACATTAAATTTTTTAGAGCATAGCATCTACTATTTGATGAAAGATGTTATTTTCCTGCTAATTACATTAGTAATTAAACATTAGGTGTTTAGGAAAAGAAACGTAAAAAAGTTACTTCTTTCATATTAGTTAAAATAAAATATAAAGTAGTTAAACAGTCTAAAAATATAATTCATTAGAAACCATTATTTTAAAATAATGTAAAAAAATTATTTACAAACATGAAGAAATCTAGTCCACATCTAAGCCACTTTCAGGGTCACAGCTTTCACTAAAATCTAATTGAGAAGAAAAAAAAATCTATGAAGCTGTTAACCTGGGTTCTTAAAAATACTTAATTCATCAAAAATGATAATATTAATAAGATTTTTGGGTATTTTTAAGAGATTTTCAAACCAGTTAGCTGAACTTAATTTATAAAAAATTAATCACAGTAACAATTATAAAAAAAGTTTTTTCTAAATTGAATCTTTGAATTGATATATATATATACCTAAACTTCTACTCTGCTGCATATAAAGTATTAGCTCGATCATTTTCAAGTATTATTTGGAAGAATCATTTACAAAGTGTATATTACAATGCATTATATGAAGAAATGTCCTTAATGTCAAAATCTAGTTATATTTCATGCCACTAGAATGATTGTTTTAACTTTCAAAGAAATCTGATGTTGACTTATGAACAATCTAAATAGAAAAGCATATGATTTCTCATGATGGCAATTTTGTTTATAATTACTGTCTTGAGTTCAATCCTCCAAGTTCTCCCGATTCCTACCAAGTCTTCAGAAGCATGTAAATAGTACACAAGAAATTTAAGATTTTAGTTATTATTTATGGATTGTTCTAGAGGTTTCTAGAACATTCCCTTATGTCATTTCTGTTTCCTTATTACAGTGTATATAAGTTCAATTATTTCAAGTGGAAACGGCAATTACCATGTTTTTACTCTAGATGGTTGTTAATAAATCTGTTCTACTTGCCAGCGTAAAATTTATTCTTTCTATGCATATTATTTGGCAGGGGTTCCGGGTAGGTAAGCAACCCTCAAAGTTGTTCTATGAAGCAGCCAGCATTTGCAAAGATTAAAGCCAGAAGGTGATCCCTTATCTGTGGCTGAGTAAATTCCAACACACAGCACATAAGCTATCCTTCTGCTTTTTCTATAGAACCAAGTAAAGATCCAGGGATGCGTATAAGCAGACCCTATCAAGGATGAGACACTTGGCGATTACTGTTGGAATTGGCAATGAAAACACGTAAATGTGGCGGGAGAACGAAATTACATGAACCATAACCGCAATTAGATATTTGTTTTCTTCTCGTTGCCTAGCCATGATGAAAAAAATAAAGTAAATAAATTGATAAACGCTGATGCAGATGTTTATCGTTAAAGGTCCATTTTTTTCATCCCATCTCTTTTTTAAATTAATTGGAATTATAGTTTTTTCAGGAATATATATATATTATATNTGTTATTATAGAAATATATATATATATATATAGTACCAGTCAAAAGTTTAGACTTACTTGTATTTATTTCAAAAACAGTTAAATATTTCTGACTTAAATATATAATTTATCAAACATAAACATACTTCGGAAAACACTGTTTCCATTTAAAACTTTTCATTATTTTTTCATTTTGTATCTATTCTGTAGCTGATTATGGTTATCTCGCCTGCACATAATTTTAAAAAGTACGCCTCGCCTGCACATAATTTTAAGTATGAAAACATGTGGTTTCAATTCCTCAATTTTTGTCTTCCAGAAGATAAATTTTTAAGCCGTGAGAATGTTATGAATGTTAGAACTTATCAAATGAGTGCAAAAACTATTTCTAATAATATACACTGTTAAAAATAAAATTTGAGATTATTTTTTTATTAAATCTACCATACAAATTTCTAAAAATAAATTTTGTTGAAAAATACTTTTTCAAAAAATACTTTGTTGAATATTTGGCAAATACAAAAAGTACATTCCTTCTTCCAAAATTTTCATTAAAAGGGCCAAATATTTGTTACATCCCTAATTTTAATAGAATGTTATTGCAACGCGAGAAATTTGAAAAGGGGAAGGAAACTGCTGACTGTCTGTAATTTTGTTTTCAATGTTTCGCTGCTTAAATGAATTTTTAGGGGAAATATATATATATATATATATAATAAAAATCATGGAAAATAAAAGATATAATCTTTTCATTAACTCTCACGATTATATCCGCAAAAAGGAATGCTTTCTTATATGGTATTAATATAGCCAAAGCAAAATATATCAATACAATAGTGTGAGGAGCACTCAAAAAAAATTTACAACAAATAAAATAGAACACATTAAGTAAAAATAAAAAACGAAATCTATAAAGCGAGTAGCGAATTCAAATGAACTTACATGAACGGGACATTTTTCAAGAATGATTTAAAATATTTTCGTAACAAGATTGCCAGATTACAAAATATGAAAACAGAAGCGTAAATAGAGGAGTTTTGTTTTATAGTGCGTTTGTTCTTACTGCAGTACTGAAGTGCGTTTGTATAACCTTATTGTTCATACAAACACACGAAATAAAACTTGTTTTTCTTAATTTTCTTCTTTTTGTATTTAGTTATTATGATATATATAGATATTATATAATAAAAAAGGAAATTTTTTTGAAAAAAAGTATTAGCTTCTCATTTTAAAACAAGTTTTAATAATTAAAAACATTTAATTTTCTGCAAAGATATGATTTCTGCAAAGGTATTAGTGCTAGTTCACTATTTATATAAATATTACCATATTTTCCGTCGACTTGTCTAAATACACATATGACCTGTCAGTTAACCTGCTATGCAAGTGGCCCTTTGTTAATTAATCTGCCATGCAGGTGGTCTTTCACTTAAAAAAAAGGTTGTGTACCCTTAGGTTAGGCATTAAATTGTGATGGTGAGAGATACTTTTTAAATCTTTAAATGTTTAAACTACTTAATCCATTGATGATTCAATTTTTTAATGAAAAACTAATTATGCCGTGAAATACAATTAACTGAATACCTGAATGGTTGATCTTAGGTGAAGAAATTTCTGAAACTCGGTAAAGGGAATTCTGCAATTAAAAAAGAATGCAAACTTATTAGAAAATTGATAACTTCCTAACTTACCCATTTGGTTATTTATTTAATTAACAATAAATTTTCACATTTCTTTATTAATGTCTAGTAGTTTCTGATGGAGTTGAGCTTGGGTTCGCTTTTGGAGATCCGAGCCCGAAGAATTTTGATCAGAGCTTGAAATATATGTCCGATAAAAGCCATATTTTGCATTCTTGTCACTTAGCCTTTGATGTCTAAACAAGGGAATTAGGATATTAAAACCTTTTCAGTCACTAATCTGTAAAAGAAGCACAGAAAAAAACGGAACCAACTGTGAAACTCCAAGAAGACAAAAGCAAAAATTAAAAAAGAAAATCAAAATTATAAGGTAAATAAAAGTCATTTGACAATTAACGCAAGAATTACAAAGCAAAAGCACCGAACAGAGTAGCAATGATATAATAGAAACAAATTTTACATGTTTTATACTCACTGAAACAAACGTTTGTTTAAAAGAAGTAAAAAAGTTGATGAGAATTTTATCATGAATCTGAGGCCTCTTTAACCTGAAACCTTTTTTCGGTAAACGAGCCAGCGTCAAGGCCCGAGCTGAGCCTGTCTCATTTCTAGTTTTTTTATACCCACATTCAGGTGACTTTTTAATTAAATAGTTTCTCGCCATTTACAATTTTTATTAATAATACACGAATGAGAATAACCCATCTTCAACACAGATTAACCTTTCATGGTTGATGATAAAAAGAATGAATTATCCTAATGAAAATGTTGTTAAACATTAATTTTAATAAATGTTTTCAAAAAATGCTTGGTTAATTAAATTAAATATGAAACATAATTAAGTTAAAAAAAATTAAGAATGATGTAAAAGCCTTGTTTATGCAGAAAGAAAAGAAAATAAGACAAATTGACGAATTTACCTGTGTCATAAGTATTGTCAATATATCTTGTTGACTAACTGCATCTCTTCTGGCAGCAATGAATTGATCAAAAGTAGCTAAAGATTAACATATGTCTGGACTCTAAAAAAGGAGAATTTGAAATTGTAGAAATTTATGAGCATTACAAACTAAAGATTTTTCTATTTCAGAGTCAAATTGAAAAGTAATTAAATGTGAAATGCATTTTAAATTATGGGAATAATTTAACAAATATTAGCATAATTATAATACAGCTTCATATAATTATTATACTACAGATTTTAATCAGTTAGAGAAGCATTCAATATTAGAGTTAACATTATAAAGTATTAAACAGTAGCAACTTACTGTTATAAAATATGACAGATGAATCATTATGAGAGCAGTAAACCACTTCTAACAAGTCCTTAAGAAGAAAAAAATAAATACATATAGAAACCAAAATGAGAAAACCAATTGCAAGTTAAGTCAGAAGATTTAAAAAAAAAATGTTAAAATAAAATTTGATAGGAATCGAAAATATGTTAACATTTTGTTACCAGGGTCAAAATTTCATGACATTCCTACCATGGTTAATAAAACATAAAAGCTCTAAAAATGGACCAAAGTGCTTGACTCATAGTTGTGTTCAGTAATAATACTCATAGGGCACCAGGAATAATATAAATTACTTAAATATATTTTTTAGAGTAACTTTTTTAAAGTCTAATTTTATAGACAAAGATTTTTTACCAAAAAATAAAACAAGGGATATGAATGCAAATTATTATATTTCTAATTATTATTATAATAGCAATAATAATATATTTCTTACATTATTTCATAAAAAAAAACATTGATTTATATTGACTGTGATTTTTTTTTTTTATTAATTTGAATCCATTATTTAGAATGTGATTTACAATTCAATTTTACATTAAATGTATGAAAAATAATTTGCTGGCACAAAAAAAAAAAACACATATCAATTATACCCTTTAAATTCATGCTTATTAAAATAAAGTTTTTTTAAAACTTTCTAAATACGTAGTTAGTTATTTCAAGAATTAAATTTTTTTTTATTTTTAGTAATGTATTCTGATCTAAACTAATTAATTCTTCATTAGATACATAATTGACAAATAATCTCCAATCTTAAACTTTCATAAGCAGGTTGAGCTTGATAAATGGTTCATATAATTATTTAATAATAATTTATTAAATAACAATTTTAAAGAGAAATATAAACGATTATAGTTATAATATTGTTTTGAATAATTATTAATGCATTTCATCAGATATTTTGGTTGGTAAATGTAATAAAAAAATTGATTTAGATGAAATAAGATTTCTTTTATTTTGATAAGTTTTCAATTATTAAGTAATAATTTTAAACATTTTAATAAAAATATTAACTATTATAAAATATATATAATATATAAAAAATATTAACTATAACAGGGCTTCTAACATATTTTCCCAAAGATAAAGGGAAATTAGAACCATTTGTAGTTAAAAAGAGAATTTAAGAGGACCATTTAAAGTTTAAAAAGAGGACTTAGGACTATTTATAGTTATATTCAGGAATCATGATAAAATATTTAGTTAGTCATCTTTAAGGAAGTATAAAAATATTGTTCAACAGAATTAAATCAGATAAAAGATCCTAATAACAATGTATAAATTTTACAATAAGTTTCTAAACTTAGTCAATTACTTTAAAAATACACAGATTTTTTAAACTACTCTGAAGTTTTACAAAAATAAAAAAATTACTTAAAAAAACATTCACAAACTATATTCCAAATTTTCACCTCATTCATAAAACATCCAAAGCTGGAAAATTAATTAAAAATACTGATTAGAAAATGTTCTATCAATTTGAAAATAAGATTCACTCTTTAGTTATATGATTCCATAGTAGTAATTTTAATATTTCGTTGATCAAAAATATACGAAAGTTTTAACAAATTAAGAGGAAGAAAAGCCTCAAA